TTTTTAGTCCTTGCAGTGAAAAGTTTTACATTTTGGTGTTTTTGCCACAAATCTTTAATGAATTTGACACTTCTCGTCCTTGTAGTCAAAACTTTTACATTTTGACATAAAAAACACAAAAAACCTCCTTTTGAGTTTTGTCACCATATTTTCTCAACTTTGACAACTTTAACATTATTGTCACAACACTCTTGGATTTTATCCACCAATGTCCCTTTTTTTGGTTGTACAAATTTTAGGGGGTGTCAACTTACTCCCCTATTTGTGGTGATTACAATTTCAACACATATCTTTTAAAATTTGCCAATTTTTCCCATAATACCCCAAAAGCGGCATAGCCGCGGGTTCTTTACTAGTTTTTATCAAAACTTACCTGAAATCCTTGAAAAACCTGTCGATGATATGCAACTTCTTCCTTTTGGCCCATACTAGCCCAAACATCCGAATACATAACATGTGCTCGATTCTTTCGGATCATTTGTAATCTCAATTTTCCCAACTCCAAAACGTTGGGCTTTTTCAACGGTCTATTTATCGGGCCCAAAGCCTTTCGGGTATGCAAACACAAAATGAAAAGGTACAACAGCAGCCAATAAAAGCCAAACTGTCTAATCGAAACAAAATTAGAACGATATTAATGGTCCATATGAAAAAAAAAATTAGACATGTCAAGCAATATTTAAGTGATTGATAAACAAATTATAAGTCATAAGTCATAAACAACAAGGTTCTAAATGGTGTTTTTTAAGGTGTGTTATACATATAGACGTGTTTAATATTATTATTCAGTTTATTGAACAACTTAAATACATACATAAAGAGAAAAAGAAATCTTATAATTCTAGTTTTATATAAAATATATCAGTTTTTTAGAAATGTTATATCAATAACTAATAATAAAAAGTTAACAGAAATTCAATAGGTTCATGTCTGATAAAAAAAATGTCTTAAACAAACTCGCGCCATGAACCTTGAGAAAAAAACATGCCTTGAAATAAAAGTGCAAAATTATAGTTTTAGACGCCCTCTCGTCGTTTTGAAACATTTGACTCGTTTACATTGCTATAAAAAAATGACACATTTTTTTGATATATGGATTGAAATTATCACATCAAAGCTTTACTAGCATACTCATGGTTAAAGATTGTTTATATTTTTCAGTTGTTTCTCTATTTTTTGAACGGCTAAAAAGATTATTTGTATTTTTTGAACGGCAAACTCACAGCTCACGCTATAATCTACTCCTAAATCCATATTTTTCGTTCTAAATAGGACTTAAACCCTCAACCTCATGAAAATTTGTGACATCCCCAATTTCACGGCCAGAAAAGACCGATTTCGTTTATGCTTTTTAAAATAAAATCAGAGTAATCCTTTTAAAAGATGTTGCGGAATTTGTTCCCAAAACAAAACATGATAAAAGTTTATCAAAATTTTTCTTTAAGAAATATATATTTTCATTTTATATCAAAACCACAGGATGTCATGTTCCGATACAGATCAAAAGCATAAACAAGACATTATAAGCCTTACAACAGTTATTTACAACTACTGGCCTATAATCCAAAAATTCTCTCATCGTCATCCGACTATGCTCGGGGTCCACTACCTGTAAGATAAAAAGGCTGAGCGGGTCAGACTTGGGAGCGTGGTGAGCATATAGGGTTTTCAACCCACAATAAATAATAAACTTATCATTCAACAATAAATTTATTAATTTCATCAACCAAAAATAATCCTAATTACCCATTCCCGTTATCCCCACTTTACGTCCCTAAAACAACTATCACAAGGGACCTAGCCTAAGGATTTTCATTAGGGGGACAACATTGCTTCGGGGGTTCCTCAGCAATTTATATCAAATAAGGCAATCATCGGGGTGACAACACTGCTTTCCTCAGCAATTTATGTCAAATAAGACAACCATCGGGGTGACAACACTGCTTTCCTCAGCAACTTATGTCAAATAAGACAACCTGACATAAAACAACCAATAAGGTGACAACATTGCTTTCCTCAGCAATTTATG